GTATGTGTGGGATGATGACTTCCACAGATAAGGAGCCAAGTCACCACCTGGAGCCCTCCCTAGTTATCTAGTGTCCTTTCGGGATTCCTGGACACTGCATCTCCTTGTGGGGATGTCTCGACCAGCAATGCTCACAGTGTGTGGCTCTCACACTGGGGAAGTCTTCAGCATCTGTTCTCAATGCATACCCTCAGGGAACATTTTTCTAACCATAGTCCACACTGTGGCTGAAAACTCAACCTGGTAAGCCTGAGACAGAATTCATTCAGGGAAGTAGAGGCCAGCCTGAGCTACATGACAAGATTCTATTTTAAATTAAGAAGAAAGTGTACTTTGAAGACATCATACAGTTTAGTTGCTAGAAATAGAAAAACCAAGCTGGAACTAACCTGAAACTTTCTTCCTTCTGGATATCTTTCATTGTACCAGCAGGCATGATACAGGCTCATTGCAAATTAAAGTAACCAACAGTCTTAAAGAAGAAGAAGAAGAAGAAGAAGAAGAAGAAGAAGAAGAAGAAGAAGAAGAAGAAGAGCAGTATATTTATATATATATATATATATATATATATATATATATATATATATCTTACTTTCCCTACACCCTCCCACTGTTTTTGAAATTTTCCTGTTGATCCTAATACAGTGGGTTGTGCTCTTCAGCTTAATTGTCCCTGCAATTAACATCATTTCAGTTACCAAGGCTTAGTTCTGAAAGATCAAAGTCTCTTCCCCATGTGGAGTCTGAGAAGCCCCACATAGAACTGGAAAAACCCTGGAGAGTTGGATTTCCCACCCCAAAGTCTCCTCCAAGTAAGCCCTCCTGAGGAACTAAAGCAGGGCCAACTGGGGAGCCGGAGAATGAAAGTAGAAGATGGAGATGTCTCTGCACTGTGAACACATTCCATGAGGATGGACAGACAGGTCTACCTCCCCACCAACAGCTGCTCCCTCTTTTCTATGGGCTAGAGATGAAACTCAATGTGCTTTACATGAGTTGTTGGTGTAAGGCGGGAGTCTAACAGTTGAGCCCGGGCCTCTGCGTTACTGTTAAATCTCTCACCTCAGTCACTTATCCCAAGCCACACACAGAAAACCAGCTCAGAATGAAGCCATCAAATTTGCTTGTCATTCACACACTAAATAGAAAAGATCATATATAGCTAACAGAACAGAGTAGTGGGAAAAACAAATCCAGTTCGGTAAATGTTGCTCTCTTTACAGGTGGGAGCAGCACTGTCCTAACACCAGCCACAGCAGGTGCTCTTGTCAGACACAGCCCTGGGCTCACTTGGAACATCACTGGGCAGCATAAGCAGCCTGAGGAGGACTAGAGAGAAGCAAAGCAATGCTTCATGAACAGGGTCTGACATAGCTAGCCTGTTTTAGACTTGAACTCATGATCCTCCTGCCTCTGCCTCCCAAGTACTGATTAGAATGACATGCCCACAGCACCATGCTCCTATGAGGAAGTATTCTAATGAAGATCTTGGCTCTGTCTGCCCTGAGAGCCCAGATGTGAACTTCAGGATTTGCATCCCAGTAGAGACAGGCAGCTTCATCTTGGGACCTAAGGACAGTGCAGAAATCCTGGAATAAGAGCAGAATGGTCTCCAGGAGTTAAAGGACAGCCAGTGTCCCCAGAGTTACACACTCAGAACACTGTGGCTTCCCTCCCAAGCTCAGCCCCAGCCCCAGATCTCTAAAGCAGACCCCACTGGCTGTTCCTGTTGGAGGTCTGTCTGCAGGCTTTGCAGCTTCGGGAGCTGCCTGTGGGGTACAGAAAGAAGGAGTGAACTGGAGACACAGGAGGGAGCCAGGGGACGACACCAGAGACCAACACTCTCAGCTGTGCATGTCCAGGCCTTGCTCCTCCTCTCCCAGATGGCACACACGGCATGCCATTGGGTCTCTCCACCCTACTTCTGGGAAGCACAGTCATTCTCAGGTGTTTTTCCTACAGGGAAAGAAAGTAGGGTGCTCCTGCCACAGTGGGTACAGATATGTGGTGATGGACAGGAAGACTAGAGCCCACTCTTTTCTCCCTTGAAATGAGAACCTTGAGAGAAGGAAGGAGGAATGAAAACTTGGTAAGCTCCAAAGTGTGGTGAAGCTGCAGAGAGACAGAGACAGAGAGATAGGCAGAGAGACAGACAGACAGACAGACAGACAGGCACACACACACACACAGAGAGAGAGAGAGAGAGAGAGAGAGAGAGAGAGAGAGAGAGAGAGAGAGAGAGAGAGAGAGAGAGAGAGAGAGAGAGAGAGAACACGAGTCAGCAATGGGCTCCTTAGACAAAGAAAACTAGCAACACATAGTCAGGAGCCCAGTTTATCCAGAAATGAATATGTGTCCTCTGAAGTCCTTTACCAGTGGCACAGGAGCAGTTGGGGTCCATTTCCGATGCAAATAGGTTGAGGTCCAAAGGAACCAGCAAAATAAAAAATAAATAAATAAATAAAAAATCAGGCTTCTCGGACGCACCAGGAAGCCTAGGAACTGTCTGCTTACTTTGTAGTTACTGTGCAAAGGTCCTGCCCAGACCTTGCACCCACAACTCTCAGCTGGCCGGTAGCTGACTAGGCTGTGCAGAACGTACAGCCACTCTTCTGTTCCCTCATAAGGGAAAGGCAAGCAAACTCTCATATTACCCCACAAAAAGTCCCAGATGCAAGAGCCAGCCCGGGATGACAGCAATTTAGGACATGACCCGAGGTCCTCACCCCCCTCCCCAAAGGGACCTCCTCGGCCTTCTATCCACGCTAGGGACTCCCCAGGTCTGCTCAGACCTCTGGGTGCAGCCCGCAGGCACCTGACCAGTTCAATGATGTTGTGGAGGGAGGAAAGGGAGGGGATATAAACTATGAACCTCAGTCCTTGAACTTTAACAACGCTAGACAGGCAAGGTGGACCTACTTTCAGGAGCTCCACCCGAAAGCAAGCAGTGGACAAAGTGAGACCACTCAGTTCAGAACTCAAGACGTGACTTCCTCTGGCTCAGGCGGGGTTAGTGCAGCGGCTGAGAACTGCGCACTCTAAGGTTCATGCCAGGTACTTTACACCTCGTTGGAACTCCTAAGCAACAATTTGAAGAGGCTGAAGCCCCGCTGGGTGTCCTAGTAGGACAGAGAAGGCTGGCAGCTTCCAAGTCTGCACTGGGCCCGGTGCGACGGCCCCGCCCTCTTTCAAGCACCAGTGAACTCGCGCCCTTTGTCACACTACCGGGTGTGGCTGGGCTGAGCGTAAACTTCCCGCTGGGCGCAGTCTCCGCGTGCAGTGTGCACCTGGCGGTGATATTTCTTCTGCGCCCGCCACTGGAGGCCCCGAGAGGCGGGGGTTTGCGCTCAGCGCAAAACTGCGTTCAGTCACTCACCTTCTAGAAAGTTTGCTGGGCATTTCTCCCCCTTAGAGTTCCAGTAACCTGGTCGCGGCTGTCTCCAGTCCTCAGCCCTGCACTATGGAGGTCCCCTTGGTCTTCCCAAAGTCTCTTTATGGCATCTCTGAGATCAAAGTGAGAGTGAGGGAAGTGTGTGCTTCTACCACATTGCCAGTCTTTGTCTCCGTTTCCTTTGTAGCCGGTAAGAGGACAGACACAGGACTTTGTCTTCCATTGTCCATACAACAGATAGAGACAGACAGAGACAGGCATTAGTTCCTGACCTAAAACTATCCTAAGCTCTCTACAGCCAGTGAGCCCTTCCCAGTACACTAGACAGTTTTGACGCAAAGTACTTCGTTTAGAGTGAGAAGATTATAAACGTAAGCAAGGGATATAATCCTCCAATCCCTGGCCATGCTGCGGGAATTTGAAAGAGCAAATTCATCCTGACTTTGCAAGGAACTTCTGCCCGAATCACAGCAATGGAGGCCCACCCAGTGAGTGGTCTAGTGCTGCTCAGGGTCCATTGCTGAGTTCCTTCAGGATCTCTGGGCCAGTGCAGCTACAGGGTATGCACAATCACTGTTGGTGAGCAGCTGTGTGATGTGGTTAAATTAGTTTCCCTATATCTTCATATATTTATTGTTTTCCTGTCGAATCTTCAAAATGTGGGTTTCATGCTCTTGGAATTTATTCTTGTATAGTCTCATTTACCTAACATCAAGTTTAAGGTACGAAAATAATAGCTGAGGCATATGGCTCAATAAATAAAGCACTTGCTGCTCAAGTTTGAGGGGCTGATTTCAAATCTCCAGCACCTACAGAAAAAGCCAGGAGTGGTGGTACAAGTCTGTCACCCCCAGGGCTGAGCTGAGGGTGGGTGGAAAGAGGTGGGTCCCCAGGGTTTGCTGGCAGAAATACAGCAAGTTCCAAATTCACCAAAAGATCTCATTTCAAAAAGTAAGATTAGAGGCCCAGTCAGTGGTGGTGCAAGCCTTTAATCCCAGCATTTGTAGGGCAGAAGCAGGCGGATCTCTGTGAGTCTGAGGCCAGTCTGGTCTACAGAGTCAGTTTCAGGACAGCCTCCAAAGCTACACAGATAAACCCTGTCTCAAGGTGGGGGGCAGAAAGTGAAAGAGGAAGATTCCCAATGTCCATCTCAGGCCTCCACATGCACAAGCAAATGTGAGCACTTGTGCAAGCTCTGCACACGCACGCATGCGCGCGCGCGCGCGCGCGCACACACACACACACACACACACACAGAGAGAGAGAGAGAGAGAGAGAGAGAGAGAGAGAGAGAGAGAGCTGATCCGGCACACAGCTGCTGTCTTCCATTAAGAGGAAGCTCATGACATAATTGACTTTCCCTAAGACACTTCCCCCTCCTCTGGGGCAGAGGGTGAAGAGGTAAAGGGACCAACAAGTCCAGAACCAAATCCTTGCAATCTCATTAAGTCAATCTGTCACCCCACTTCCTTATTTCCAAGTCACACAAAGAAAACCAGAGTTAGAATCACATTGGTTTTTTATTCACATATTTCGTAGAAAAGGGGACTTAGTAAACAGGGTAGAGCTCCGGGCACTATTTACACGTGGGAGCGGCATCGTCCTCCCATTAGGCACAGCACGTGCACTTGTCCGATGCCCCTTTGCAGACGCAGCCCTGGGCACACTTGGAGCAGCCCACTGGGCAGCAGGAGCAGCAGCCTAGAAACAAGGGAGAGGAAGAGGTCAGAGCTGGAGTCCTAAGACCTGTCACACAGACCTGACGGAAGACCTGTTTCTTGCCCCAACAAGCGGGGGTGTGTGTGTCTTAGAACAGCTCTGGCCTGACACGTTACAAGGGAGGGCCCTGGGATCTGTCGGGCCCTGTGGGTGTTCCCGCCAAACCTTAGCCACCACCCCAGGTATCCCTCCACACTCACTCTTCTTGCAGGAGGTGCACTTGCAGTCTTTGCAGCCACAGGAACTGGAGCAGGTGCAGGTGCTGCCTGCGGAGGAGAAAGAAGACAGTAGAGAGACTTGCAAGATCACAGTGCCCACACACGTGCCGAGCTCAGTTCACTAAATCCTGCTCAGGATTCCAGGAAGCCTAGCCCCCACTTCTCACGGGGTAGGGTAGGGCTTGGTCTTTGGTCCAAGACACAGAAGTCCCTCACTTCTCTCCTAGTCTAGGCAATTCATAAAAGTTTAGTAGTGCCTGGAGCTCGACCCAGATGTCCTCACTACCTGGGTGATCAGGAGCGGGACATTTGTGCGCCTAAATACTGCCCTCAACCCCGACAAAGGATCCGTTCGGACAATATTAATACTGCAAGAATAGATGGAGGTGCTTGCAAAGGGGGACGCTAAAAAGAACTAGAATGAATCCCCAACGAAGGCATTATTCCCGCGAAGATTCTACACTACATCCTCTACAACTGCGGGAATCCGCTCTGCGGTCCTAACTGGGTATTCTCTTACCGGTGGAGCAGGAGCAGTTGGGGTCCATTTCCAGATCTGGTGAAGCTGGAGCTACGGAGCTGAGCGAATCACGAGGAGGCAGTCTGGCTGCTGGAAGTTGTGGTGACGCCTAGCGGGCGGCCTGCTTTCTTTATAGTCGTGGGACCGGTCCGGGCGCAGAGTTTGCACACAGCAATCCGTTGCTCTTGCCTTCGCTGAGTCACGCGCCCCGCGTCCTTGGCAGAGCCGAGCGCACCGTTCGGGCGGGGTGCAGAGCTCCCTAGGGCGCTGGCGTGCACAGCGGGACCGCCCCTTTGGCGCCGCTGGCTCGGGAAGGAGAACTTGTGCGACATGTGGTACATCTTGTCCCTGTAGTGTTTTCCCCGAAATTACAGCCGATCACTGGTCCTGTGCATTACCGAGAACTCACCTCGGAGCCCCCCGACTGTCTCCCTAAACACATCCAAAGCGTTGTGTTCTCAGCTTCTCCTTTTCCGGAGTTCTCTGGATCAAAATCGGCAGAAGCAAAGGAGACAGTTTTGTAAAAAGACTAGCCTTGATTATGTACTTTCCCCGTCCTCATTTGCTATCTCTGTCCCATCACAATCCTTGGGACTCTTCCTCCTGGACACAGCAACAGGGCCAACGCATCTCATCTTAACACATTCATTCCCCACTCCGGAGAAGTCTAGGCACATTGTACAGGACTGGGGTCACACACCTTAACCTATCGGCTCTACTCCAAGATAGCGGTTTTAAAAACTGGAGATGTCTTCCCTCCAGTGGGATCATTTTAGGTGGTATCCAAGGACTGCATTGTTCCCGATTTTGAGCAACTTTAGATTCGCTGTCAGGCCCTGTTTTAATTAAGTTCAGACCTGGGGAGCTGTGCAGGGCTTGGAATCCCACAGCCTACCTTTGCTCTTGATGGAGCTTCCCTTTAAAGAGTTTTCTTGAGAGACTCCCTTGTGTCTGGTATGGCCTTAACATTTGTCTACAGCTGAAATCTACTCATATAGGCCCACGCCCCCAGCTCCACTGCTGGCAGAGACAAAAGCAATATTTTTGTGGTTGTTTTCAGATATGGTTTTGTATATAATCCAAATTGGCTTTGAACTACAGTTCCTCCTGCCGCCCAAGGGCTAAGATTACAGGCATATATTAATTATTATGCCTAGCCCACAAGGACAATTTATGAGTGAAATACATATATGTCTGTGTGGGTGTATCTTCACATACATCCATTTTTCTAGCTATCTTCTGTATCTGGAATAGGACTGATGCATGTGTTTAGTAAAGAGTTTACTTAAATATAAGTAATAATAACTAATAAACACACTTAAATACATCTAAGAAAATCTGAATTGTTGCATTATACAACATGGTACTGTGACCACAGAAATGACAGGCATGGTTCTGTGTGTGTCATGAAGTTTGCTCATAGTTTTCTATCCCAGCCTAGCATGGGAGGGCCACAGAATTTTTTTGGCAGGAGTGAATGACTCTTTGGAGCATATGTCACATGGTCATGTGTGTGGTAGATGAGCATGACACAGATACACAGCTAAGCATACCAGGTATGGCATCTATCATTTGCAAGTGCATAAGTAAATATCCCATCTGCTGCGTGTGATTATGAAGAGGTAATGGCTAATATTACCGAACACTTGTAAGCAGGGTCTCAGCACAAAGCCTAGGAGACTGATTGATGTGTCATGTCCTCACCTATTACCTGTGCCATTGTGCACATGAAAGGTTTTTGTTTTTTTGGTTTTTTGTCTAACTCTGGCATAAAGGCAGTGGTGGGAGGTGCACTGGGCTGTTAACCAGCTCCCTTCACACCATTTCCTATCTCTATGGAAGAGCAAAATTGGTTTGTTCCTGAAAGCCTGTGCATCCAGCCACTTACCAAGGCAGCCAGGGCCTCTAGAGGAGTGGCATCATGCTCTGCGGTGAGAGGATGAGAAGACAGCTATGGCTTTAGCTCCTGTACACCATGACTTCTGAGTCATATGACCTTGGGCAGGTTGCTTACCTGCTCTAGAGCCACCAGCCCCTCTGCAAGTCCATTGTTTGTGTGAAAAACAAACTATATCAAAAATGGAAAGTTGTTCATTTCTGCTAAAACAGTGAGGCAAGGCTTTGTGTTAGAGGATATCCACAAAGCCTTGAACAGATTGGCAAGGCTTTGCTATTGTTTGTTTTGTGATAGAGACTTGCTGTGTAGCCCAGGCTGAACTTGAAATCCTCCTGCCTCAGCTTCTGGAGTGATGGAATTGCAGGCATGTGTTATTTCATGCACTCTGGCTGTGAGTGAAATATGGCTATTATGCCAGAACTAGGAGTAAAACAAATTTCTCACTTAATACCTATTTAGAGATGCAAATTCTGTCTACACAAGGAGAGGGGTTTCAGAGAGGTTGGGTGCTTGCCCAGCCAGTCAGTAGTTTTAAGTAGCCAAGGACTGGACTTGTAAAGAGCTATGAATTTTAGCCTCGACTAAGGACAAATTCCAAGATGGGGAGCTTACCTAGCATGTGTGAGGCTCTGTGGTTTGTCCTTGGAACCATTAAAAAAGAAAAGGGGTCTGGGAGTGTAGCTCAGTAGAGGAGTACTCACCTAGCATGCACACATCCCTGGGTTCAGTCCTCAACATGGCATAAACTAGGTTTGGTGGCACATGTCTGTAATCCCAGTCAGGAGGATCAAAAGTTCAAGGTTCATAGCAAGTTTGAGGCCAGACTGGGATACATGAAACCCTGTCTCAACAAAGAAAACACACCTGACCCCACTTGGCCCATAGGAATCTTTATTAGGATATCTATCTATCATCTATTATCTATCAATCATCCAGCTATTATCTATCTATCTATCTGAAGGAGAAGCATCCATGCAGGAACAGGAGCCGCCTGTGAGGAGGAGAAAGCCAGCTGAGAGCTGGAGACAGAGGCAAGAAATGCAGCAGTTGGTAGTGTCAGGCTAGGCCAGTCCCACTCAGGGCACATTGACTTGTGACTCCATTTCTCGTTACACATGCTAGTATTTGTCTTGGGTCCTTGAACTCAAAGAGGCAGTGTCCTCTGCTTCCCGTTTGTCCAGGCAAATAAAATAACGGTATGAGGAAGTGCATACTTGTTACAGTTTCTGAAGACTACTTGATCTCAGCTAGCTAGAACATCTTGATTGTAGAGGAATGGAATGTTGTGGGTGAAGAGCCCAAATTATTCTGGGCTATCTTAGGCTCCTTAATGTTGTTTTGGTTTATTTGGAAACAGGGTCTTGTGATCCAACTGTCTCAGCCTCCCGTGTGCTGGAATTACAGGCCTTATCTTAGCCCTTGTATCTGACTTGATATCCTCGTGACTGTTAAATAAAACTGCTGGCATATAGGGTTAAGCTGAGATGACCTCTAGCCCCTAGAAACTCTGAAGCTAAAATGCTGTAGGTGACACAGCCAGAGAGATCTACCCACTCTGCAGCAGCCCACATGCCCGATGCCACTAATATAATACCAAATGAACTGACTATGACTGAGCCTCTCCCACAATGAAACTCACCATTCCAGACAATGTTTACTTGTTGAGCCATGGTCCCTCATATTAGGCTCAGAAAAAAAGTATCATTTTCTTTTCAAGTGCTATCTTCTGTTTGTTTGTTTGTTTAGGACAGAGTCTCACTTTGTAGGCAGGTGAAGCTGCCCTTGACTGCTGACCTATCTCCTGAGTGCAGGACTCAGAGTGCTTATCTTACCTGGACAGTGGACGTAGTACAGGATGGATGGGCAGGATGTGGAAACAGATGGGACTCTATTTAGCAGAACCAGCAGGTTTGCCTTTACCTCCATTTTCGGGACTTGAGGGCTGAAATGTGTAATCAAATTATGTGTCCTCCTATGCAGGAAATTCTGTGGATGCCCACAGACTGGTCTGCCTCCCTTGCTGCAGGATCACAGTTCTGAAACTGGGATGCCTCCACCCCAGGAAAAATCAGTTTAGGTAGTAAGTTCAAATAAGATGACAAGAACATTTTAACCACCCTGAATATACAATACACCGCAATCCCACCCAGCTTAAGTACACTCACTTTGCTCTGTCACTAGGCCAAATGAAAATTAAAGGTATGAGAAGTTAGCAAGGCTTTGGTGTCTGTCAGGAGGCTGTGGCAGCATTCTGGTCACAGGGGCTTTGTACTCATCATCCACATTTCCTTCGTCCCCAATCAGCAAGGCTCCCTCCCCAGCTTCCATTCCAGTGTCCTCCCACACTGGTACTTACAAACATGGGACTCTCTCTCCAGAAAGTCCATGTGGATAGAATGCTCCTACTTCTTTATTTATGGAGCCTCGGCCAGGAGCCAGGTCCTCTCTCATTAATCCCTAGTCAGAATATTTTCTCCTTTCTGTGAAAGAGGACTCATCAGTGAAGCTATGGGCTCTTTTCTACTCACTACCGTTTGCAAATAGTCAAAGTTTAAGGGGCAGGCAGTGAGTGGAGGAGGGCAGCTCTTGCTCTCAATGTCCCCTTGGTGTTGATGATAGAGTTAAGAGTTCTGAGTTTTTACTAGATGTGGGCATACATATATTAGTGTTTTGATTATTATGTGTCATGTGTGAGGTGCTTGACATTAGAGCATTAAATGGGAAGGAGTGGTTTCCAGGGATGAAGGTGTCTTTCTTCCCTAATGCTTGGCACTTATCCAAGTCCTTTTTCTCATTATAATAAACTTCTAATGAGCCTGAAGCCATTTTGGGTGTCAATGTGTCTGGACCAGCAGAATCTGGTCTGGGGCCTCCCTCCGTGATTAGGAATGTTTGACAACTCGATGATTGGCAGCTGGGAGTATGCAGTTGTCAGCATCTAAGCTTTAACTGAGTGACAGGTTAACAGGATATCAGTATTTGAAGGGTTCAGTCTGGGGACATAACCAAATGTTCTGTCAGATGTTCAGTGACTGTCCAGGTTACATGACCAGTAAGGGGGGAAGTAGGCTGCAAACTAGGACTTCTTGGCACCCAGAAATACCATCTGCCTTGTAAATTTAATCTTCACACAGAAAGCCTAAGGGCAAGCTTGGTCCTGACTTCTGGCCAAGACACTCATCTTTCCCTTTGATTGAACACCAAATTTCATTAACTCAACAAATAGCCAGGGGCATTAACCGTTGGTTTTAATTGTGTCATTCAGGTCCTTACAGCTTCCTAAAGTACCACCCATCCTCCAAATTGTCGGCTCCACCTAGATGCCTTGCTTCTGGGAAGAAGCTGGACAATTCCTTCCCAATTTCTACTTTCCATTTCTAAGTGGTCAGGATTGTGGGGCAGTTTCTTTCTGACCCTGAGAGGAACTTCCAAAGATCTGACACCCAACTCATGGCACTGTGCTCCTGGGAACTGGGGGAAAAAACGTTCCTATCAGTGTCCCTGTGCATCAGAGAAGCAGTTTCTCATAGGAGGTCCAGGTTGGACACATTGTAGCATTCAGTTTTCAGTCTGCAAGGCACACCCTTGCAGACTGAAAATGCACACACTATATATAGTGTATACACTATATATAGTGCTTGCATTTTTTTGTTTTGTTCATGTTACTGAAAGCAGGCTTTGAGCCTGTATTCCCAGCATTTAGGAGTCTAAGGCTAGAGGATTGCAAGTTTAAGTAGTTTGGGCTACATAGTAAGATCTTGTCTCAAAAATCAAAGGCACCGAATTTTGAGACCAAAATTTGACTTCAAAATTTCAATAATCCTGCTTTTTTTTTTTTTTTTTTTTTTTTTTTTTTGAGACAGGGTTTCTCAAATTCAGAGACTGGGCTGGCCTCTGAACTCAAGCCTTCCTAAATGCTGGGATTATAAATGGGACTCACCACACCCGAATCCCTGATTTTTTCTTTTTCTTGAGACAGAGTTTCTGTGTGTATCCCTGGCCACCCCAGAACTTGTTCTGTAGATGAGGCTAGCCTCCCAACTCAGGATTCACCAGCCTCTGCTGGGATTAAAGGCAGGCACCAATAGCCAGCCCCTCTAATTCTTACTTTTTGTTTTATTTACTTAAGTTTAGGTACTGGCATTCCATACTTAAGTCAATGTGAAGCCTAAAATCCAACTGAATTTGGAGAGAGAAAGAGTATCTTGTATCTAGGGGGTAGGGGTGTGACTCATTAGTGCCGGAAGCCCTAGGTTTAATCCCCAATATACACATGCACAGTGGGGACTGGCACATTTGTGTGACTAGTGCATCTTCTTGCCCACCACTTCCAGGATAAAAGCCCGAGAGGTAACCTGAGCAGCCCAAGCCACAAACTAGTATTTGAGTCCAGAACTCAAGCCTCTGCAGTTCCATTTCAAACTCCGCCCAGTCCCTTATTTCCAATGCACACAAAGACAAGCTGAGTTAATCAAGTCAACGCTTTTATTATCAATTACATGCTTTATAGAAAGGGGTGTGGCGAATAGGCCGGGGTTGTAAAAAAAAATACGTTTCTACACATTGCTCTATTTACAGGCAGCTGAGGGGAATCCCACTTCAGGCGCAGCAGCTGCACTTGTCCGAAGCCTCTTTGCAGACGCAGCCCTGGGAGCACTTCGCACAGCCCACCGGGCAGCAGGAGCAGCAGCCTAGAGGAGAAGAGTTGACCGTGAGCGGAAAAACTGAGTCAGAGGCACCACACCTGGATGCTCCCGGGATGGTAGGGCGGACTAGGGGCTGATGCAGAGCGAAGGGTAAAGGGATAGAGAGGATCCAACTTACTTTTCTTGCAGGTGGTGCATTTGCACTCTTTGCATTTGCAAGACCCAGCGCAGGAGCAGGATCCATCTGCAGGGACAAGGCAGTTAGCGCGACCTGACGCACCTGGACGCAGGAGTTCCCATAGGAACTCAAGTGCAAATCCCCGACCCAGCTTGGGTGAAGACTGGTTAAAAGGGGTTCTCCAGAATTCGTTGGGAAAGGGCAGCAGGTAGTACCCTGAAAGTGACTAGAGAAGGGACCCCAAACACCTTGCCTAGCTCTCGGAGAAACTTAGGCTGCGGAGGCCCGTCAGCAGTCCCCCTTACCTGTAGCACAGGAGCAGTTGGGGTCCATGGCGAGTGAAGACGACGGTTGGAGACCGGCTGAGGAGCGATGAAACACAGAAACCCGAGCGCTAGGAGAAGGCGTGATGGAGAGAAGCGTGCAGAGCGCTGCCTTTATAGAGGGAAGGATTTGGGGCGAGCGCAAAAGGTCCGCCCAGGTTGCCCACCACCTGCATACGCCCCCGCAGACTGCACACGTCCCGCAGACTGCAAGCGTCCCTCTTCCTGCACGTGGGATACCGCCTGCACACGCCTCCGCTCTGAGTCACGCCCCTCTCCGCACGGCCCACGGACTGAGCGCAAAGGATCTGCGCTCGGACCGGGACAGTTCCCGGAAGCTTGTCCACCCGCGCTTTGCCGCGCCCTGGGGCGCGAGGGGCCGGGTGCAGAGGGGGCTACCCAGTTTCCCCTGCGCGGGTACAGCATCCCGTGCTTATCGTGTGTGCCAACCTGGATGAAAGCGGGTTGTGGAGACCCTGCTTACAGGAAAATTAAGTTGGAAGTGGGACCAGGTTACAAAAAAACAGTTCTAGCCCAGACTTAGTCGCTGTTGGTGATGTCCCCACTGCGTATCCCGTGCTGCCAGGCATTATGTTAGACCTCTCATTTTTGCTTTACAACGCGGGGCGGGGGGAGGGGTGGGGGGGGGGTGTGGGTTCGGTATAAATGTGGAAACGGAGGCTCAGTCACTTAGTCACTTGCCTAACATGAGGGTAGGATTAGAATCCGCTGAGTCGCTAGCGCTAGCACGTAGCCAGAGACTAGAGACTGGGAAGACACAAGCCTTGTTCTAAGGACACTTATTCTTGGGGGCAGCTAGAGCTTTTGAAGAGGGAAAGTGTTGAAGGTGTCTCTATGGGAGGTGAAATTCAAGAGCAGGGGAGCAGGCCAGTCTGGAAGGATACACACCAGGACTTTCTGCCTGAGGGCAATGAGGTGTTTGCCTAGCAGATGGGCCAGATGGTAGTGTTCTGGAACACGTGGAAGAAAAGCCCCACATAAACTTTCCCTACCCCACCCCCCACTCCATGGTTGGATGCTGAGGGGAAGAGTGGAAGTGGCAGCCAGATTTCTCTCACTGGAGGCACATAGTGGTTACCCCGCTTGCTCAAGTCTGCTGAAATCATAACTTGAAGTCATAGTAGGAATGTCTGTGTCATCGGAGGAGCCAGGAAACAGCTTCAGGAAGCTTCCTGGCAAGCTCGAGTAGATACTCAGCAAGGAGGTGGGTAGATGGGGTGTCACAGGACAGGCTGTCCTTGCAGCTCTTACTGTAAACTGGGGAAATGCCTTCTTGGCTCAGCACATGTATCACATTCTCCTGGATGCCTTCCAGACCCGATGCCCAAGGCTGCCCAAGGGATGTGTAATAAACATCCTGTCCTTTCCCTTCCTGGCACTTTCCATGGCTGCACTGTGTTTGAACTTGAGCCGGATTGATTTCTGTGCTCCTGTACTCCCTTCCCAGACTGAGCTCAGAGTAGTCTTTGCCCCTGTTGGACTGTCTCCAGTTGGTGTGGCCAGGATGAACTTGGCGGTCACTACTTGCTGAATCTGGTAAATTAATGGAAGTACCCCCCCCCCCAGCACTATTACTCCTGCCCCATTTCCGCTTTCCAGTAGGACTCTGATTTAGAAAATGAAAGTAGGCTGGATGTAGTAGCCAATGCCTTTAATCCCAGCACTCAGGAGGCACAAGCAAGTAGATTTAGTGAGTTCCAGTCTACCCTTGGTTGCTTAATGAGATTGTCTCAACAAACAACAAGGAAAAAGTCAAGTTTGGTTGGTGTGGCCCAGGCTTCTAATCCTAGCACTCCAGAAGCCCAGACAAGATTGCAAAAGCCAGGCTAGCCTGGGCTACATACCTAGCCTGTCTCAGAAAATAAACTAAGGGCTAGGAATGTAGCTTAGTGGTAGAGTGCTTGCTTAGAATGTGTGAGACCCTAGGTTTAATTCCCAGCATGGCTAAGTGTGTGTGTGTGTGTGTGTGTGTGTGTGTGTGTGTGTGTGTGTGTAAGCTCAAAAAAGTCACCACCCTGATACCCCGCACTCACTGAAGTGGAAACGCCACAAAGAATGGTGAGAGGTGAGGGATCATTTGCCCATGGGGTACCCCCTTTCTCTTCCCTTCCCCATTCCTTCCATCCCTCTGTCCATTCCAGAATCTGAACCCACATTTGTAAACACTGTTACCTCTCAGCTACACCCCAAACTTCTGTGTAGTTCTAAACCTCTGCTTACTCATGTGTCAAATAATCAGATGATATTCGAACTCAAAGGTCACCTCCAAACATCCTCGGATTTTATTATTTTGTTTAATTATTTTCTTCTCACCATGTTGGTGTGTGTGGGTGTATGCACATTTTATATGTGTGTTTTCCATGTGCATGTTTGTGTGTCTATATGTGGAAGTCCTAGGCTGATATCAGGAATTATCCTTCAATTTGCCTATGTGGTGGTCTGAATGAGAACAGCCCCCATAGACTTACGTACTTGAGTGTTTGGTTCTCAGTTGGTGGACGGTTTAGGAAAGATTAGGCGGTTTGGCCTTGTTGGAGAAGGCGTGGCACTAGGAGTGTGTTGTGGAATATTAATTTAAGACTTGTTACATTCAGGCCAGGCATTGGTGGTGCACGCCTTTAATCCCAGCACTCCGGAGGCAGAGACAGGCGGATCTCTGTGAGTTTGAGGCCAGCCTGGTCTCCAGAGCGAGTTCCAGGACAGCCTCCAAAACAATATAGAGAAAGAAATCCTGTGTGTGTGTGTGGGGGGGGGGATTTGTTACATTCGTTTGTGCTGTGGAATGTTTGTGTAATGGTGCAAAGACATGTTACATTTGTTTGATTAAATAAAATTAACCTGGGCTCAGGAGGTTGAGTCAGCAACTACCTGACAGGAAGTGGTAGGGAGGAACCATATGTAGCCAGGGTTCTTAAGTGGAGGCAGAGCAGAAGGACCGGCTGTTTTTGGGGGGACTCTGAGCTAGGAGAGAAGGCTGGCTACTTGCTATTCAGCCTCTCTGAGTGAACAGAATTTCACCTCAATCTTTGAATCCTGCATTCTATGGGGATAGAGATCTAGGTAAAGTTCCCTTTAGCAGCTGTGATAGAGCCAGTGCCTGAGGGAACAGAATCCCTGCCTGGCTATGGCCACTGCAGCCCAACCTCTATCAGTAGCTTCGGAGTTGCAATTGTCCATTAGGACAGCAGTTGCTTAAGGGGCAGCTACTGCATTTAATGAAAACAAGAGGAGTGGACCTTCAGGAAGCCCACACCTTTCTAGTTGGCGCTCCTCTGTCTGCTGTTGTGTATCAGGTGGGAGCCCTCAGCTACTTTACCGATACAGCTTTCTGCCTGCCTGCCTGCCATCATACTCTCTCATGGTCTTGGAATCACCCTCTGGAACTGTAAGCAAGCCTAATTAAATGCTTTCTTTTATAAATTGCCTTTGTCGTGTTATCTCTTCATAGCATGGTTGGGAGCATGGCTGTACCAAGGTGACCTGGTACTCATGATCCTAGGCCTCAGCCACCTACGTGCTGCAATTACAGGGGTGAACTATCATGTTTGGCACATACGATTTTATGGCCTTGATTACAGAAATCCCAGTGAAGTCCCACTGTCTGGCAGCCCTAGTTGGGTACTAGCCAGCTTTTGGTTGTCGTTGTCCTTTGTATATGCATTCATTATGCACCAAGTGATTGGCACCTAATAACTCAGTCATACCCACCCACAGGAAGGCTCCAGTTCAATGCAGAGGACACAGGGTTTGCCCTGCAGTCTCCAGTCTATCCCATTGTGCCCCATGCTGCAGGCACACTGGGGTCTGGGAGTGCCTATCTCTTGAATTTCTTTGACTCTTCTCTGGAGGGGAGGATGTTGAATTATGGGTGTGGGGGGCACAGGCCGAGTTTTACTCACTTCTGTGCTTAGACAGAGGTGGAAAAGGAGGCCTTTCAGATGCTTCCCTGGCATGGAATGCGATGTGTGAGATGATACTGAGCATCACAGAGTAAGGAAAACACTTCTCTGAGTTCCTGGTCTAAGTCATCAGTGTAAGGTGGTGATGTGATCCTGCCCCGGTTAATAGAAATATGTCATCTTCCATGACGCAGGTGAGTTTTCATTCTACATTTTATGGCTGAGGTTGGTATATATTATTCTGCCCTCTGCCGTCCATCATTCTTCCCCTGAGATGGAATACTTGGTTTGAGTTTAGAGTCACCTGGCCTTAGAGAGTCTCTGCTACAGCCATAGTGGCAGGGAATGCTGTCAAGCACGTTCTCTTCCCTGGATCTGTGCTAAGTCATCATGAGTTTATCTTCCTGGAATCCTGGTGTTTAGCTTCCAGTGTTACCGGCACACTTAGCATGCCTGAAGCCCTGAGTTTGAACTTGAGCACACAAAAACAAAACAAAACAAAACAAAACAAAAGACCCCAACAAAAAGCCAAAAACCCAAACACATAAACAAAACCAGCCATAAATAAAATAAACCCCAAGCCCAACACAACTCCATAAGACACGTGATATTAACTCCTACAGATGGCACTGAAGAGTCACATGACTTGCTCAGGTCATACATGACTCATGAGGATTGGAGTTGGGAATTGAACCCACCCATGTATGTTTTATGCTGCATTGAACAGGGGATTTTAGGCCTGTTCTCTATATTCCAGGGACAGAACCAGGGCAATGATTCAGCTCTAGGTACAGAAGGTCAGTCCTTTCTTCCTTTCTTCTATCCCTTTACCAGGGTCTCACTTTGTGGCCTAGGTTGTCCTTGAGCTCACCAGGTATCACAGGCTGTCCTGGAATTTATGATCCTCCTTACTTTCTCTATCCCTGCGATTATCAGCCCCTGCTACCACACCCGTCTTCCTTTCTTTTCTTTCATTTTATGATACTGGAGATGAAGCCTAGGGTCTTGTGCATACTAGGTAAAAAGTCTTTTTACTGAGCTGTATCCCCTGCCCCCAAAAGCCAGTGTTCCTGTACTAGCTAGTTTTATGTCAACTTGACACAAGCTAGAGTCATCAGAGAAAAGGGATTCTCAATTGAGAAAATGCCTTCATAAGATCCAGCTGTAGGCAAGCCTGTAGGGCATTTTCTTAATTATGGGGGAGGGCTTAGCCTATTGTGGGTAGTTCCCATCCCTGGGCTGGTGATCCTGAATTCTTTAAGAAAGCAAGCTGAGGGAGCCTCGGGCTGAGGGCCAGGATCCGTCTATGTGAGCAACTATCTGGTAGATAGCGGCGAGCTGGGTGGGGCAGCCAGGTAACAATTCCAAGATGCCAGGGCTTTCCAGTTCAAATTCAGGTTCCACTCCCTACATATCCTTCAGTGGTGTGGAGTCTGCTCTCTCCTCCTTAAAAAACTTCCAAGCCTGCATCAGCTCTGGAATGGACAGTTTCTAGTGTTGCCTTGGACCTTGTGGAGACTCAGACTGACTACAGTATGGACAGGACCATGGTTGAATTTGCAAAAATTCATTACATTAATGTAATGAGCCATTACATTAAGGCTATCCAGTCCACCATAAGTCATGTAGAAGAAGAACGCCCAGAAAAGGTGCCAGACTTAAAATTACTAGTGGAGAAGAAATTTTTGGCTTAAAGGATAAGAATTCTGATGCTGACTTTAGAGACAATGAAAAATTTGTGCAGTATAAGCAGCAGCTGAGGGAGCTGAAGAAGGAATTTGGTATGCCTGCAGACAGAGAGAATGATTGGACAGAAGGGATTGACGAAGATATGGCTGTGACCCAAAGCCAGACCAATTTCATCTGCCCCATAACACAGCTGGAAATGAAGAAGCCAGTGAAAAATAAAGTGTGTGGCCACACCTACGAAGAGGACATCATTGTCCTCATGATAGAATCCAAGCATAAGAGGAAGAAGAAGGCCTGTTGCCCTGTAAGACCCCCGGGAGCTCAGGCAGATTCGAAAGCTTGATGCAAACTGCATGAGGCTTTATTATAGTTGTTTAATGAGCTAATCCCATGTTAGCTCGGGCCTTCCATCCATCCACCATGGCAGATGGCTAGGAAAGCAGCTCGAAGGGCCTGCATAGAGATCTTGTAGGGTAGCATAAGGTGAGTGTCTAGGGGTATGCACAGGCTCAGGATTGGTGTGCCTCCAGGCTTGGAGGGTTTGCCCTGTGTTGATTGGTCAACTGGTTGTTATGGCCCCTATGCCCTCCCAATGTGGTTGCTATGCTCTGCATGTCATTGCTGTGCACTTGTCCGTAAAGCACACCCAGAGCCATAAAGCATAGCAACTTCTGATTGGTTCCTTGCCACAAGGCAGGCATCAGACCTTCTAGTGATCAAGGCAAGGTCAGGCAAGCACATGTTTGGCTGTTATGGCTGCTGAAATGGGGAGCCAAAATTGGCTGTAGTCACACAGACATGAGAATGTCAGACCTCATTCCAGATGAAGCCCTGAGAAGGGCAATTGAGAGCCACAACAAGAAGAAAAAGCGCCACTCTGAGTAGGAACAAGCCACCTGCCTGCCTACAGGGTTGTCAGCCTCCCTACCTCAAGCCCCCAGCCACCAGAGAGTGAGGTTAGAAACCAGTTAAAGGCCGGCTGAGCGGCACACTGTGTTCGGGGCAACACCTGATGACTAGTTGTAATTGAAGGCATTTTTCAAGTTCCAGAATGAAAACACGAGAACATTATATTCTTTATTTTTCAAGTGCTCTGAACTTTTAAATACAACTTTGATAAACAAAGAAAAAAAAAAAAAAGAAAGCTGAGTAAATTACGAGGGGTAAGCCAGTAAGCAGCATCCCTCCACAGCTTTGCCCTCAGCTCCTGCCTCCAGGTTCCTTCCCTGCTTGAGTTCCTGTCCTGACTTCCTTTGATGATGAACTGTGATTTTAAAGAATAAGCTGAATAAACCCTTCCCTCCCCTAGTTTCTTTAGTCATGGTGTTTCATCATAGCAATAGAAACTCTAAGACAAGTTGGTACCTGGATAGTGGGGTATTGCTGTGACAGACCTGACTGTGTTATTTCTGGAAGTATTGTGGAAGTACTTTGGACCTTTGGGCTAGAAAATCCATTGAGTGTTCAAAGCTTGGTAAGCTGTTTTGTAGGAGATTGGAAGATAGGAATGTTGAGGACAATGCAGACAATGGAGGCCTGGCTTGTGAAGTTTAAGAGGGAGGTATAAAGACTCTATCGGGCCATTTGTTATTTTGAATTAGGATTGAGTGGTTCTGGTTAGCTGGGGTTGAAGAACCAGCTGATTAACAAGATACTAGAACTACTGAAGTAAACTTTTGCTTTGCTGGGGTACTTGATGCTGGTTGGCTAGAGCTGAGAAATTAGCAGTGATTAAGAAGAGACCAGCATTGTTGAAGTGAAATCTGGAAAGTGTTCCCTGCAAGCACAGAGAAGCTGTGTTCCAGACATGGCCAAGGTTTTGTGCTGATGGCTGAACTTGGTAGTGTAAGAGCCACCCAGGTAGTACTGGTTTTGAAGGGACCAGCTCCCCATTTCCACAGCCATGGCAGTAACACGTACTTGCCATGACCTTGTCTTAGTCACTAAGGTCAGATGCCTGCCCCTTTCGGCAGCCATGACAGTAACACGTGCTTTTCTGCCCCTGCCTTAGTTACTAGAGGTTAGGTGCCTGCCTCGTGGCAAGGAACCAATCAGAAGTTAGCTGGTGGTTAGTATGCTTTACGGCTCTGGGTGTGCACACAGCAATGACGTGCAGAGCATAGCAACCACCCTGGGAGGGCCTATGGGCCATAACAACCAGTTGGCCAATCAACACAGGGCAAGCCCTCCAAGCCTGGAGGCACATCA